AGAGAGAGAGAAGGCAGGTTCACAGGTGTTCATTTTCTAATTATGCTACAGAACTGACATACATGTCACACTCAGTCTTCAAGTGTTTGATAATAAAACTGCATGAAGAAAAAAAGTTTTTCTATCATAGCCAACTAGCTGGTAGCAGGGAGGGAGGGAGGCTCCAATATAGCACTGCAGGAAAACAGGTACGCTGGAATGCCAGCTAGGGGAAGGCAGACAGGGGAGAAACTCATCACTGACCACACCCAGTGAAGCCAGAGTGCTCCTAGCCTGTGCGCCCTCACACCTCAGGTCCGGCGTCCCTATCACCTTGGGGAGGATCAAGCTGAGGGAGGGACTGGCATTGCAGAGGCAGCCAGGCTCCCAACGCTTCTATTCTCCCCACTGGGAAGAGGAACACAGCAAGTGAGATGTTTCCAAAGCAGAGCATCTCAGAGACTGAAAGCTGTAGAGCTGAGTATAAGCAGACCTGGGTAGATTCCTGAGGAATTTGATAACAAGTGCACCATTTTGATCAAGAATTTGGATCTGCTCACCCTGACTAACTATATATACTGATACCTGTGAACTAAGCTACTGCACTGCAGATGGTAATTTGTAATAGTAGTTTCATGCTTGGAGTGCCTGTCATTCTGGTCTTCTGAATACGGGCTGCTTGTCATGACATGCCAGTTGTTGCTATGATGTCTCTCAGGTAAATGGTTGTTCAAGAAGAAGGGGGTGGTGAATGAAAGCAAGAGACAAGAAAAGGAATATTGTGGGACTGTCCTGCTTCAAGGTTGTATATGGTGAGATTTTTGGACTTATGTGTAAACATAAGAATTATATATTTCTTTATGCCTATTTTTAAAATATATTCTAATTTTTAAATGTTTTTTATCATATTCTGTAGGGATTTAAAGTTCAACATATCAATACTTGATGAAAAATACCTGTTCCATATTATGCCTAAGATGTTTGATATGCAGACAGATAGTGAGGTTAAGCTTAACAGCCTAAGTTGTATGGTAATAACAATAAGCTTTTCTTCTGGATGGTTAACAACCTAAGTTTGCAGACCAAAATTAGAGAAAGAGGAGGGCTGAAGGAAAGCCAACATTTTGGCCCTAGTCTTCTAAGGTCAATTAAGACTCAGGACATATGAGAACTTGTACTGTAACGTCATGTAACTCAGTAGTGGCCCAAATTTTCTGATCAAGGAGATTATGGAGCCAAAGAGGAAAGTGATCGGTGATGTAGAGTGTGCCTAAGGAGAGTCACATGGAGAGAAAACATTCTCTCAGGCTTTCACAGAGGGCACCATTGGCCAAGCAATGGCCGTGACTCATCTACATGGCTCACACTGACAAAGGTTCTACAATCTGAGGTACAGGATCTCAGGATAAATCCTGAGGGGATTTGATTGACCTTATCCAACTCAAAAGCTACAACTCTTGTTGCATAGGTCCTGCTTTACCTTGGTCTTAACCATCCAGCAGAAAAGTATAAAAATGAAATGTAAGAAGTAAAGCCATGCTGTTATGTTGAGCTATAGGGGACTCAGGTCAACAATTTCTGACATTGCTAATCAAGCAGAAGACCCAATACTATTATGGGCTACTGAACTCTTTTAGAATATTTTGCTGAGTTTACACACCTATAATATTCAAAGAACAGAACTTAACAAAAAAAGGGGATACAGATGAATGTCCATTTTGTATCTGTGTGTTCAAAGTGGTTAGGATAGATATATAGTTACATTCTCTTAATGAATAGAGGGAATTGTTCTAATAGTGTTTGTAAATAGGATATTATGTCCGCATCTTGTACAGCAATTAACCACTGGGAAGAATGTATGCAATGTGTTAATTATTGAAACTGTCCTACCAATTTGATTTGAAACTGTCTCATTGCTATTTCTTTATCAATAAAATTACGAGGGGAAAAAAAAGAATTTGGATCTGGATCTGAAATTGGGTGTAGTGATTCATGCCTTTAATCCCAGTACCGAGGAAGCCAAGGCAGGAGAATCACAGCGAGCTAGAGGACAGCCTGGGCTACAGTGGGAGTGCAAAGCCACCAAAACTGCAGAGTAAGACCCTGGCTTAAAAAGAAATGAATAAATAAATTAAAAACTAAAAACCTAAATCTGAGCACAGAGAAACTGAACTCTGGGTCTGCATGAGTGAGCACCACCTATGAGTGAGGCACTATCAGAGAGAAGAGACCAGACACCCGGAGACAAGTCCTCACACATGCCTCCCCCAAACAGTAGGAGAGCTGACACCCTACGCACACTACCCAACACCCACAAGTGAGGCACCCACACAGGAGCTCCCCACTACCCCCTCTTAGGGGCCCTGAACACAGCAAGTCCTGAGACTCTCTGTACCACGTTTACCAGAGAGTGCCACTCTGAGGAGCGTGTACCATGACATGTTGGGTGGGAGGTTTGAAGAAATAAAATTACAAAGGTAGAGGAGGGGTTTGCTGGTGGCTTATACAAAAATGAATGACCAGCTTATCAAAGCAGTAAGAGTCTATGAAAAGGTTTCAACCAGAAATCCAGGAGATTACAAATTATACTGAAGATATGGGTAGCAGAGCTGACCGATGTGAGGACAGAATTCCAGAACTAGAGGACAGCAATGCCTATAAAGGCCAACTACTCAAAGATACCCCAAAGATAAGAGAACATGAAAAATGGATCTGATAGTTTCTAGGTGATACAAAGAAGGCCAATCTAGTTGGAAAAAGTGGAAAATTAGAAGAAAACACAAACGTTATTTAAAAATAAAAATAAAAAAAACTATTCACCAAGCTGGGGAGACAGCTTGGCAGTCTAAGTGCCCACCTGGCAAGCACAAGGTCTAGAGTTCAATCTGCAGAACTGCATGCCGTGCTGGCCCCAGAACCCAGTGGGTGGTACATGCCTGTAATCCCAGTGCTTGGGAGGCTGAAAACTATGAGTCCAATCTGTGTAGTAGACCCTATAGACCCTGTATTAAGATACATTAAAAAAAAATTCTCAAAGACATCTTCAAAAGAGGCAATGAAGCCTGCAATGCAATTAAGAAAAAATAAAATAAATAAATGCACCTAGCAGGATGAGCAGCTAAACAGAACAAAAAAAAAAAAAATCAGCAGCAAGAAAACAATGGAATGACAGGGGGCTATGGAGATGGCTCAGTAGAATAAGTGCTTGCCTGGCAAGAACAAGGGCCTGAGTTCAATCCCCAGTTCTGCCAAGGGGGTGGGGGGAACAGAAAGAAAAAGAAACTCACCCATACTATATCCAGACCCAGAACAATGCAATGACAGGAATAAGCTAATAAATTTCAGTAATAACTCACTGTGAATGGTCTTAAATCCCAAGTCAAATAACACAGGCTGGTAGAACAAATCAAGAAAAATAATGAGAATGGTTGGCGAGATAGCTCCGTGGAATAAATGCTGCTTAGGCAAGCAAAGGGACTGGGGTTCGATCCCCAGCACCACAGGCTGTGCAGGCCCCACACCCAGTGGGTGCTGAGCCAGCTACTGAGTTCAGGGGTGGTGGTGTACACCTGTAATTGTGTAATCCCAGTGCTGGGGCGGCTCAAAACAGGAGGATCACTACAAGTCCAAGCGAGACTTGTTAGTGAGACCCTGGGTTAGGCTCATGTACCAAATAAATAAAAAAAAAAGAAAAAGAATGGCATGTAGTATACAAAAAACCACATTTAATAGAAAAAGAAATTTACAGATTAAAAATCAAAGGCTGAAACACAATATGCCATGCCACAGGAACCCAGAAAAAAAAGCAGGAATAGCTATCCTAATTTCAGATGAAGTAGATATGCAAAGATAGACAGATAGGTAGATCCAAGAGATATAGGGAGGGGGGTTAAAAAAGAATTAAGAAATGTGATGTATCCCAGGGCAACCCACTCGGTCCCCGTTCTGACCCTCTCTTAAACAGAAGTTTTCTTTCCCCAAATAAACATATTCTGCTCTTAAAAAAAGAAATGTGATGTACATGTGCCAACTCCTTGCCACGCATGTAGAGTTATTATGTACTAAAAACATACACCAATAAAAAAAAAAACTCCAAGGAGAACTCTGGCCCCACTCAGGTTAAAGACTTAACTGTAGAATTAATTATGGTGATACTTTGGTGGTTGAATGGCTCCAAGCCTGAACTAAACTTTGCTCAGCAGTCAAACCAACAATCTAACTTGAAAAAACCTCTGAGTCAAGAGTGAGGCACAGGGCTGGTGAGATGGCTCAGTAGTCTAAAGCACCTACCTAGAACAAGCCAAGCAAAGCACAAGGGACCACGGTTCAATCCCCCAGCACCACATGCCAGCCAGTCCCGCCCCCTGGTGGGCTGAGCTGGCCACACACACACACACACACAAATTAAAAAAAAAGAGTGAGGCACACATCACATCTCACTGGGGACACAAAAGGGTGACACTTCAGTCTAAAAGCTGCTCTTGCCTAGATGACATATAGCACTTGTATTACTGTGTTAAAACTTTCACCATTGTTCCGTGTGTGCGTTTTATTTGTGTAAAGGAGTGTAACCATGGCTCCAAAGAAAGGTAGTGATACGAGCAGTAAAGCTAAGAAGAAAACTGTGAGAACTACAATAAAAAAAGAAATCACTGCAAAATTTGTTGAATTTAAAATTTGGGGACCTCAGAACTATTTGGTTTTCCATTATTTCTCATGGGAAAAATGTGTTCAGTTCTCAAACTTTTCAGCATTTGAATACAAATTTGGAATGAGTTGGGTTCAACAGCCAAGGTATTATTGTACTGTATTATAGCCAGAGAGATGATGTTTTGAGTTGGTTCATCTCAAATCGGATGCCCAGTCAGGTTAAGACTGACTAGATGCTGACCAATCTGTTTTACACATAACTAGTCCAGTGCTAAAGAAAGCACAAGATCAGAGGATGGATTATTTTATATAATACACAACAAAGTTGAAAATATGTATATCATATTAAAATAGCATTAAATATGTTATACCTTAAAAACTTTTATCTGTTCCATTATTGTAGCACACATAATAATTGTAGGATTTTCTTTCGGTTCTTCTTCAGGTCTCTCTTCCGTCACAGATCGTTTTCTTAATGCCTTTCTCTTTTCTTGTAATTCTTTTTTATGCTTCATTTGGAAAAATTTCAGTGTCTTAAAAATTTCTCGGGAAAACTCATCCACATCAGCTTCCATGCTCTCCCCATTGAGATCCAAAAACCCTCCATCCATCCACCTGAAAGGAAAGAAAAATAACATGAAACTCAAACACAGAGTCTCTAGACTAGGACTCTCGTTTCTGTAAAAGTGACAATGATGGCAGGAGCAGTTAACAATTTTTCTGTACCACACAAGTAGAGCTTATAGAAGAGATACAGAAATAGAATCATCGTTCTGGCTACACTGATTGGGCTAAAATATGTATCAGATTACGAATGGACAGCTCTCATACTCTTAATGAAATGCAGATTTGACTCATACTTCCAGCTTGGGAAGTAAATATTAGTAACATTAGTAAATCACATAAAAAATGGACTGACCCTGGAAAACTCAAATGATACTATAGAACTTCTAATGTGTGAGGCTGACATCAGAGCTCAGTGGACGAGTGCCTGCCTCACATGAGTAAGACCTTGGGTTCCCCAGCACTGTGAAAGTAATAACTGTAAAAGATAATAATAAGATTAAGTGATATGTTGGTATTATTTGATGCTTACCCTATATGATACTTGGTTTTCATTCAAATGAATAAACCCTACTTTTAAACACTTAACTGGGGCTGGTGAGATGGCTCAGTGATCTAAAGCACCTACTTAGAACAAGCTTAGCAAAGCACAGGGAAAACAGTTCAATCCCCCAGCACCACCTGCCAGCCAGCCCCGCCTCCTGGTGGGCTGAGCTGGCCACACACACACACACACACACACACACACATATAAATAAATAATTTTAAAAAAATAAACACTTAACTAAAAGAAATACAGCTGGGCATGGTGACACATGCCTGCAATCTCATGTCACTTGATAGGCTGAGGCAGAAGGACTGTCTCAGGTTGGAGGTTAGCCTGGGCTACATAGTGAGTTCAAGACCAGTCTACATAGTGAGAGAAATTTAAAAATTTGTCTCAAAATTTAAAAAAGAATAGAAAATCAATTTACATCTTAACCATTCTTTTATATCTTTGCTTATTATATTATCAGAAATTACCGTTTTTCTGCTCGCTGCCACTTCAAAACAAGATTAAAAAACTTGTGATATGGTTCAATGTTATTTTTTAAGTTATCCAGTTCAGGATATTTTGTTAATTCCCATTTGAAAAGTTCCTCTTCTTTATTGATAAATTGAACAGCTTCTTCAGATTCCTGGATACGTTTTTGTAGTTGTCGTACATCTGTCACATACTGAATGCAATGATTCATTACAAGAAATATCCAAGTATATGGTAAAAATAAGATCACATGATACTGAATAGGGCATATCTTTGTATTTGTACAGCAACTTAAAATATTATAATAACTTCACAACATTATACTGATACAGAATAATGTACAGTTATGTTTGCAAATAGAAAAATCACAAGAACGATCACACCAGAGGGCTGGTGGTGCGGTTCAGCAGTGGCGCCCTTGCCTAGTAGGCATCCTGACATAGGTTCCATCCCTAGCACAAGAAAAGAAAACCACATAGAGTGAATAGCACCAGTCCCCAGCCTAAAATTTAAGCCAATCTTTGCCACAGAAAACCTTTTTTTTAATATTTTAAAATGTCCATCCACCAGTGAATGGCTAAAGATGTGGTTCTTTTATATAATGGATTTCTACTGAACCACAAAGAAGGATAATCAAGACCTTCCTAGGTAAACAGATTCACCCTGAGAGCACACTCTTAAGTGAAGTAAATCAGACATCCAGGAGGAAATACCACACTGTTTCTCTGATGGAAGAAAACAAAAGCGTAAGTGTGGTCCAAAATGTATAATAGATATTGTGAAATAAGAAGAAAATGTTCAAATGGGAAAGGGAGCTAGGGAGAGGAGATGGGGAAAGGAAAAAGGGAAAAGAAAAAATGAGAAAAGAAGGAAAAAATGGAAACAAAGCTTTTTAAACAGGTAAGAGGAGTCGAAAGGAGGTTATGGGAATAGGGGAAATGAATCAAGTATAACATGTACAGGTACTAATTCCCTATGAAGAATGAGATCATTATGTACTCTTAAAATGTACCAATAAACTTAATTAATTTAAAAATTATGTTAATGTATCATACTATTTTAAATACTTATCAGACCTGTTGCATGCGTTCCAGTTCTGCAAATTCTGTAAATTCATCCATATGACGTGATTCTTTTTCTACTTCCAAAATCAGTTTCTCTCTCTTGGCTACTAGTTCATTTTCTTTTTTACGTTTAGCATTCTCAATGAGCTTTTAAAAGATAACTTAATGATGTTAGTTGTTATACTTCAAAAAATAATTATCAAATAAGAAATCTAAATGCTTCATATAGTAAAATAAACCATTAGAGAAAATGAATAAAAAATAAAACATTATCTACAATGACAATTTTTTTAAAAAACTCAAAGAATAAACAACACAGAAAAACCTTCCTAGATCTCCTAAGTGACTCCCACAATTTTTATTAATTAAATATTTTATTTAGCAGAATCTGGGAAAATAGAAAGCTATCATTTCTTGAGCACACATGTACCATGCATTTATCAAGAACTATTAAATAAATACTTTATATACTTTGCCATAGGTATAATTCTTTCTATTTTATGAGGCCAGGGAGATGGCTCAGTGGAATAAGTGCTTCCCTGGCAAGCTCAAGGGCTTGAGTTCAATCTCTGGTTCTTCAAAAAAAAAAAAAATCTTTCTATTTTAGAGTTGAAAAAAATTGAGGCTTATGGAAGTCATGAGATATATCCAGAATCACAAAACCACAAAACTCAAATTTTCATTACTACTTCACTGTTATGGCTTTTACCGAAATGTGTCCCTAAAGCCTCATGCACACGTTGGTAGGGCTTTTGGGAGGTGGCCTGATGTGAATATGGATTAAGGGTATGTGCTAATTAAGTTAGTCCACTGATTCCTTTAGCATGGTCCTGGGTGTGGAATAATGGAAACCCCCACCCTGGGTGTGTGTGACACCAACCCTTAGGCTTGATGAGGGAAAAGGGAAAAGGAGCTCAATGCTACCACTTCTCTGCTTCCTGCCTACCCTGCCATGGGCTGTTCTCCCCTGCCCATGCCCTTCTGCCATGCCACTCTAGCTTGGGGCCAGCTAACTATGGATGTAAACCTCTACAAATTATAAGCTAAAACTACCCTTTTGTGGGTTCACTTGAGCAGCACATACACTAAAATTGGAACAATACAGAGAAGATTAGCATGGCCTCTGTTCAAGGATGACAGAATTCTTGAAGCAATTTTTAAAAATAATAAAATACATAAAAATAAACCTTTCCTTTTTTAACCTTTGGGTATCAGGCATTTTGTCATAGCAAGAAAAAAGTAGCTAAGATATTTATTTTCCTCTGATTGTAGAATAAACTGGTTTACTCTAGACCTTTTCCATTTTTTGATATACATTCAGATACAAAATTACAGCCAGATATAAAATCCTGAATTTTCTACCTCTAATTTCTGTGATACTAAGCAACTTATTCAACTTCTGTTTTATCTCTCCTCTATAAAACTTTTCTCTCAAAATATAGGGGAATAAGAATACCTAGAATTTTTATGAATATTTGAAGGTTTAATAAATGAAAAGTACTAAGTTCCACACTGAGTTCAATTATTAATAATAATTTGCATAGTAACTATGACTTCGTTAATGTCATCTCCCCTACTTACTAAATCTTGTGAGTTGAATCCAAAAACCTATCCTAAGCCTATTATAAATTTTGTCAGACTCACACTTACGCTGACATATGAGGTTTTTGGGGGGTGGTTGGTTTCCTTATTTTTTGGAGACGAGATCTCACTTTGTAGTCTAGGCTGGCCTTGAAGTCACTATGTACCCCAGGCTGGCCTCAAATTTGCAGCAATCCTCTTGCCTCAGCCTCCTGAGTGCTGGGATCACAGATGTACCCCACCATGCTGGGCAATATAAAGTTTTTAAAAGTAGATGGCAAAGGCTGGGCGTGGTGGTAGGCAGAGGAAAGAGGATCACTGCGAATTCAGGACCAGCCTAGGCTACAAAGTGAGCTTAAGGCCAGCCTGAACTTCATAGCAAGACCCTTTCTCAAAAGAAGACAAAAAAGTAGTTTGCAAGTAATGTGAATTAAATATACACAACTGAATGTCAGAATAAACAATATGTACTGAAAAATATATTTACCTCATCATTTTCATCGAAGATGGGGTTAATCTTCTTAGGCCACAGAAGAACGTTTGCATTTAAAGTTAAGTCTTCTTGAGGAAAGAGAAAAGTATCTAAAAAGTAGCTCATCTGGCGCTTCGATTCCTACAAGAGAAGCTCTAGATATAACACAATAGATGGAAAAATCCAAGGCTTTATTGTTTTCCCTTTTTTCTGTATTTAGGACAGGGTCTACAGGGTCTCACTCCATAGATTGGACTCGGGGTGATCCAAATGCCCATCAACTCAGAAATGGATTAAAATGATGTGGTATTTTTACATAATGGAAATTACTCAGCTATTTAAAAAAGGATAAAGTTGAGTCTTTTCTAGGTAAATGAATGCAACTTGAGACCATCCTCATAAGCAAAATAAATCAGACCTGCATTATAAACATTGTATTGTCTCCCTAGTGTAAGAAGTTGAAAAAAATAAATAAAATCTACATTGTACAATGAATTTTTGAGAAATGGAAAGAAACTGTTCAAAAGCAAAGAGAAAGTGGATGGGGAAAGGAGAAAAGAAGGAAGGGAAGAGGATAGCTATAGCTATAGATACAGATATATAGATCCGTGTGTGTGTGTGTGTGTGTGTGTGTGCGCGCACGCTATACTACTAATTTCTCTTAATTCATTGAAATGAAAGTTTTGTGCTTCTATCATTCAAGCAAGTTTTCATGCCAATCTGAGCAACTATTTTTAAAATAACAATAAGCCATGTAGTAACCATTGTTATTCTCCTATTATCTCGTTTTGAAATTTTGTATCATTTTCATTTTTTTATCTTTAAAATTAAAAAAAAATGATATGGCAATGCTAAGGACCAAAAAAAAGAAAAAAAAAACTTAAAAAATATTTCAATAGATATACCACCTGTTATTTTCACTTAGTTGTTGAAATTAAAGTAAGTGTAGTAGAAATACAAGGATAGGTGAAAAGGCCAATGGATGTAAGCAGTATTCCTTAAAAGAGATCTGCATGGATATGGACACTTGATATACTGTGGAGGTGGCAATACAGAGCAGTGGGAGTGGTCATTTCAATAAATACTGTGTATTGGGGCTGGGGAGATGGCTCAGTAGAATAAGCACTTCCCTGGCAAGAACAAGGGCCTAAGTTCAATCCCCGGTTCCTCAAAAATAAAAATAAATAAATAAATAAAAATACTGTGTATTTTTTTTAATGTATTTTAGTACAGAGTCTACAGGGTCTCACTACATAGATTGGACTCATTACACAGATCTGACTCATAGTGATCCTCCTGTTTTCAGCCTCCCAAGCTTTGGGATTACAGGTGCACACCATCACGCAGAGTCTCAATTGCTGTCTCACTTGCTTCTCAGCACAATGGGGGGTGGGGCTGGCATAGTAAGCTAGGGATCGCATCCCGGCCCGTGCACCTGCCTAAGCAGGCACTTTTGTCTGCTGAGCTATCCCTTTGTGTATGTTTTTTATACACCCTCTATATGCAGATTATATTTCACAATGAAGAAACACTTAGGGTATCTATATAAAAGCATCTTACCTGGATCCTCAAAGCCAACTCTTGAATCCTTACAGTCCGTGCTTTTTCTATATAAGCTATCAGATCCATCATCTCTTCTGTAGTCTCAGGTATTTTTAAAGCATGCTCTCTAATTGCTTCAAATTCACTGCAAATACTAACACAATACTTTGTTTTACTATGCTTACAGTAATTAATACTATAATCAGAATTTTATTATAAATATACAATAAGAATTATTCTTCCAAAAAATAATTCCTTAGTTCATTAAGATATATTAACTGATATAAACCAGTACATATCCAACATAAATAAAATCTATGAAATTAAGCTAATATTTGCATATGAAATTACAGGTATTCAATTTTTTTTCTAGCGATCTCTTCGACTTTATTGAATAGCCAGATGAACAGTATGAATATCTAGATAAGCAGTCTAGATAAATAATATCCAGATAGAGTATACCTTGGATCAGACAGTCTAAATCCTGCCTCAGTTGCTTCTTACTAGCTTCATGAACTTATGCAAGTCTCTTAAAGTTCAGGCCCACAAAATGAAGGCATTAACCTATCTCTTGCTAGATTACTATAATGCAATAATGAATGCAAAGATTCTAACACATAGTATACTCTCAACTTCCCATTATGTAAAGTTATTAGTACAAACAGGAATGATCAGTGCCTCTTGTGAAATACAAAAATACACCAAGTAAAAAGATCAAGTGATTATTCATATATGCTTAATTCCACAATTCATTTAATAAAATAGTGTTCCTGTGCCTTAAAATAACTGAATCATCATGCCATTATGAGAAATTTTAGGGGAAAAAAACTCATATAAAAACACAGTATAAAATGATTAACAGGGCTGGGAAGATATCCTAGTGGCTTAAGCACCTGTCTGGCAAATGCAAGGTCCTGAGTTCAATCCCTGTTACAAAAAAAAAAAAAAATCAACAATTTAAAAAAAAAATTAGTTCATAGAATTACTTCAGATATATTATGTGGGGAAATTATTCACTTATTTAATAGATAACTGAGTACCTACAATGTCCTAAGCAAGTTTCTAACCACTAGAGATATACCAGCAACCAAAAATGTTTCTACCCTAATAAAGCATATATTCAATGAGACAAATTCAATGAGACAAAAGTGCATAAATATACACAAATTAGCAAGTTCTGTGAAGCAAAACAGAACAAAATAGGGGGACAGTGTGGGGAATGTGTCATTGTTTCACAGAGAATGGCTAGGGAAGGCCTTTCCAGGCAAGTGCTATCCAAGGTGAGGAAAGACCTGCTCACTTGGGCAGCATATAAACCAAGGTGAGAGAAGAAGAAAGTGAGGCATGAAAAGAGCTTTTAGGAAGGTAAAAAAAAAAAACAAAACACTGTATTAACTATGCCATTGTCATTGCTCTTAGCAGGATGGCCAAGACTCAAGAAATGTAAGTTTGGGCTGGCCAAATAGTCCAGTGGATTAAAGTGCCTGCAAGCAGGTGCTGGGGCTGGGGTTCAATCCCTGGGCCTGCCATGCTGGTCCCACCCCTGGAGTGCACAGAGAAGGCAACTGAGACTGGGTGTGATGGCATGTGCCTGTAATTCCAGCTCTTGGAAGGCTGTAAACAGGCGGATCACTATGAGTCCGATCTAGTAGTAAGACCCTGAACACCCTGTAGATACTTCCCTAAAAAATACAAAAAAAGAAAAGAAAAGAAATGTAAGAGGGGCTGAGGAGATTGCTCAGTGGAATAAGCAGTATCTTTTTGCATGGCACATTTTCACACAAAGCATGCTGATAAACACTTTCTAACAGGCATACACTTGTTTAATCATTTATTTAGTGCCTATGGCCTGTCAACCATAGTGCTTTCCAAATGTTATATGTATGGATGTGAAGGCGTCCTGGCTGTGACATCTGTCACTGCACTGATAACCAGGGTTGACTTGGCCAATCCGGCTGCCTAGGCAGGTGTCCCCTTTCTTCCTCACCACTCCATGTGTGTCCCTCCCTAGGCAATTGCACTCTTGGTTGCTTGTCACTTAGTCAAAGAGGATGGCCAGCCCGATAGAGGAGCATTTTTCCTCCAGCAAGGACATAGCAGCAGCTGTGCTCCTTTGCTAGAACTTCCAAACAAGCTCTCGAATGTCATCTGTGATCATTACAGTACACTTGCAAAGGCCCTGAGGTAGTAGTAACTTGGAAAATGTTAGGAATGGCAAACGCACCAGTGCACCCAAGGGAGAGATCCTAGTATGAGAGTGGGAAGATGAGGAGAAGTCAGGTCGCAAAGAGCTTGAAAGCTAATTCTTGATTATCAAAAATGTAAGAGGGATGCTTTAATGTAGACAATGCAGAAAGCCAGTGGTCCTCTGAGGACATTATTTCTTGGCAGAACAGAATCCCTGTTCCCTGGGAAGAGCTATTTCAGCAAAAGAGGCAACTCAGTAAGAGCCAGGTGGTCTAGGCAGAAGCTAAACTGAGCCATCAAGTGAGCACGCTGGGCATTGATGACCCTGCACTCACCTACTGGCTCGCATTTGCTCTATCTCAAGTATGGAATTCAAAGAGGAAAGAATTGAAAAAGAACTAAGCAGAGGACACATCTGAGGATTTTTCAGCTGCTCTTACATCATGGGTTTATAAGATACAGCTATTTTGGCAGTGAAACACTTTTCCAAAAATTATCACTTCAACAAAAATTTTAAAATTTTATAAGAGATGGGAGTCATGGGAAGAGAAGAGAATGAAAGGGGACATGAAAAGAATTACAACGTGCTAACATACATGCAGCCACTCCTCATGAGGAATATAATCATGTATTTTAAACACGTACATTAAAAACTTTTTAAAGTTAAAATTTTTTAAAGGTTATATTAAACATATAATCATTTTTGTATTAATTGTGCCACTGTCATTGCTCTTGGCAGAACTGTCAAGACTCAAGAAAGGATTAAGTTCTAATACATTATCTTCCTCATTCTCTTTTTGTGCTGCCTGCCTTTATACAAAATATGCTGATAAACACTCTCTGACAATCACATACTTGCTTATTCACTTACAAATATTTATTGGGTGCCTGCTGCATGTAGTCATGGGTGTTAAATGCTCTCCAAATGTTATCTGTGATCATAACATTAGACTTACATGGAAGCTATTCTCAACTGACACAATAGAAAATTGGAGCTCAGGAAAATTAAGTAACTTTCCCAGAATTATAGAATTAGTTGATGTCAAAGACTAGATTCAAATTCAGGTCTTTTTTATTCTAAAATACATAAATAACTTTTTCATACTACTCTTGGAAAATAAACAGAAGAGTAAGGATCATGTGTTAGGCACTCTGCTAGATGTTTCATATGTATTAGTTATCATTACAGAAGTTTCAAACTCAGATTCCTTGAGGGAGAGAAGGTAAGAAAAGGAATTTAAATATGAGTTGCTTGGGTAATGGGTAAGCAAATCACAGGACACATTTCCTATCTAAAGTGCATGCTGGCTCCATTTACCTCTGCAGATGCAATGTGGCACAGCATTTTCATTTATTCAAGAAAAGTAAGAAACCAGGAGTATATGTATGTGTGTGAGAGGGAAACAGAAGAGAAGAGAAGAGAAGAGAAGAGAAGAGAAGAGAAGAGAAGAGAAGAGAAGAGAAGAGAAGAGAGAAATCTAATTTTGAAATATCATTAGCAAATTGAAAATTTATTTAAACAAAATAAAATATTGTGGAAGAAGTAAAACACATTCGCATGACATGCACAGTTAACAGGCCACTAATTTATGAGTCCAACTTCGCAGTCCCCCTACACCATAGGTGTTTTTGTCACCATTTTATAGATGATAAAAATAACCCCATGTTTTGTTTTTGTTCTGATATTGAGGATTGAGCTTGCGACTTTATACTTGCCAGGCAATCACTCATGCCACTGTGCTATATCCCCAGCCCCACAGATGATAAAAATAAACTATGTGATAGAAGAAGTAAATATTGGAGAGCAGAGTGATTCCCAATATCACAGAAAATCTATACATTTTCACTATCATGCAATCTACATTCAATACTCATTTACTTCAGTTTATTTTTAAAAATCCTCAGTATCCTTAAAACTAGTAATGGCACAGACCTGCAATCCCAGCATTCAGGAGGCTGCAAAGGGACGACAGCCACAAGTTTGAGGATAGCCCAAGTTTGAAGCTAGCCTGGGCTAGTGAGTTCAAGGCCAGCCTGAACTACACAGTGATACCCTGAACTGCATAGTGATATCCTGCTCAAAAAAACAAGCCAAGGAAGGAAGGAAGGAAGGAAGGAAGGAAGGAAGGAAGGAAGGAAGGAAGGAAGGAAGGAAGGAGAAAGAAAGACAACCAAGTTTCTAACAGCATTGTGCTAATCTATCTTGATTATCAACTTGCCTGGATTAAGACACTTCTGGACAGGTGATTGGCCTCTGAGGAACTAACTTCAGCAAAGGGTTAACTTATTGGTGAGTTCCTAGCTGATGGGCAAGCAGGTGAGGCTGGAAGAAGTGGCTCATGGGAGGAGGGCCTAGGAGGCTCAATCTGGTCCCGGGCTCCTTCCTCTCTGGCTCTTCCCCTGCTCTCTGCTTCCCACCACTTTAAGGTGCGCAGCTGTCCTCTGCCATAGCTTTCTGCCAGATGTTTCTGCCTTGGAAACCATAACCAGGTCAACTGCCTGTGTTCTTCCAGTGGCAGGTATCTAGCATTTTGTTGCAGAGATGGGAAAGTTAATTCAAGTATCAACCACAAAAAATCCAAAACTAAACTTGAATCTTATTGACTAAAATAAATCCAGCCTGATGAAACCACAAAGGAACCCTCTTAGGAGGGAACTAAGGAGAAAACTTGGTGAGTGCAACACTTGCTTATATATTTTAATCTTCTGCCTTTAAGCAAGAGTTAATATAAAAACATTTCTTTTGACCCTATTTTTCTGAGTATGGTAATTAATTCTACTTACCATTCATTTTCTTTTCTATATTTTGAAGCTATGTCATTTAATAACATGTTTGCAAAGGCTTTTGCTTTATTTGTCAGGCCTGTCTTCAAATCTTCACAATCCAAACGCACCATGGGGTAATGAACCCACTGAGGCAAAAGCATTATTTCTGAGGCAAGACTGAAAAATCTTTCTATGAACTTAAAAAAAAATGCATAGATTGTCTAAATCATCTGCGACTTTATAGAACTTTATTATGTTGAAATTCTTAATCATATAATATTAAAGACAAACTCATTTCATTTTGCTAAGTGACTAATATCTTTCCCATTTCTGTATACACCTCTCTGTGTGTACGTATGTGTACGTGTGCACACATGCACTGGGGATTGAACTCAGAGCCTGTTAGACGCCTAAACATACATCCTACCACAGAGCCTAACCCCTAGTCTCCATAAATCTTTTGTTTTAAACCTAACTTTTCATTTAGGAACTTGTTGATCTACTTTTTTTTTTTAGTCTCAATTTCATTAATTTCCTGTCTGGTCTTTATACTCTTTCCTATATTAGCTTTGGATTTGGATTATTCTTGTTTTTGCTAAATCTTGAAGAACATCAATAGGTTATTCGTTTAGGCTGTTTTTCTGAGGCAGGCAGTCACAGGTCCAAACTTCCCCCTTAGGACTGCTTTCACTGTTCCATAGGTTCTGGGATATTGTACTGTATCATTTGCTTCTAAGAACTCTCTAATTCCTTCCTTGATGCTTTCTGTGACCCTCTTCACTATGTTAAAAACTGAGTAACCATATGGTCTAGCAGTTTCATTCCTAGGTAGATATTCAAGATAAATAAAAGCATTCAATTCACAAAAACTCACATGAGTGTTCATAACAGCCTCATTCACAACAGGCAAAAAATCCCCAGAAACAATCCAAATGTCTATTAACTTCGAAACTGATACAAAAGTCCAACAGAGGATATGTTCCAATTCCAACAGCTCTAGTAAACACTTGAAAGTGCAAATGGGTCCCATGTATATACACCTATGCTAAGGCTTAATTTATAAAATCCAGCTTAGTGTTGTCTCTGTCTCTGTCTCTCTATTCTCTGTCTCTCTGTATCTGCCTCTGTCTCTCTGTCTCTGTTTCTCTCTCTCAAACACACACACACACACACACACACACACACACACACACACACAGAGGTCTCCATAAATCTTTTGTTTCAAACCTAACTTTTCATTAAGGAACACACACAAAAACCCACAAATACTTATTGTACTTATGCTTTTGGGATATGGTTGACCTCAGGCAACTGAAAGTGGAAAAGAAATTCATGGATAATGGAACAGTACTGTATATCTGTAAAATGGAACACTGTTCATCCATAAAAGGATAAATGACTTTGAACATATGCTAAATTAAAGAATCCAGGCACAAAATGTAACATACTTTTTAGTTGCCTTAGTTTTGTTTTGTTTGTGGTTCTGGGGATTGAACTTAGGACCCTGCACTTGCCAGGCAAGCACTTAGTCTACTGAGCTATCTCCCTGGCCCCGCCTTGTTTGGTTTTGGTCTTTTTTTATTTTACTGTATTTCTTTGGTTGAATTGTTTTTTAGGGGGGAATTATTTTTTTGGTTTTGGTGCTGAGGTCCAAACCTAGGGCTTCCAGCTTGTTAGGCAAGCATACTACCGCTGAGCCAAATCTCCAGTCCCACAAAATGTAACATATTTTTTAAATTTAATTTACATGAAATCTGAAGCACACATAAATCCATAGAGACAGAGCCGAGGAGATAGCTCAGTAGAATAAGCGCTTGCCTGGCAAGCGCAAGGGCCTGAGTTCAATCCCAGGTTTCGCAAAAAATAAATAAATATACATAGAGAGACAGAAGAAAGATCAAATATTTCTATGGCATATGGTGACTGTAAATACATTTTATAAATATATAATGTCTGACTTACACTTCAATAAAATTCTTTATAAAAATGAAAGGTATAGATTTCAGAATATAAATTTTTTCAAGTATAAAAAGGGCATTCCATACTAATAATGGGTGTACCTCAAGAAGATTATACCTAAACATGTATGCATTAAAAAATAGAATTTCAACTGCCTGAGAGGTAATGAATCTGCCAATGACCACCAGACTGAACTTCAAGCCTGATTCCATCCCCAACCAAGCCGTCAATGACATCTCAGGTCCAGCTGACAGCTTGCCTTTACCTTATGGGAAACCTTGAGACACAGGTATCTCATTAAGCCTAGATGGATTCCTGATCCCTAGATGATGTGAAACAATAAACTTTTTTAATTTTAAACCACTACAGAGCTGGTGAGATGGCTCAGTGGTCTAAAGAACCTACTTAGAACAAGCTTAGCAAAGCACAGGGACTGTGGTTCAATCCCCCAGCACCACATGCCAGCCAGCCCCGCCCCCTGGTGGGCTGAGCTGGCCACACACACACACACACACACACACAAATAAATAAATAAATAATTTTTAAAAAAAAAAACCACTACATTTTAGAAGTAATTTGGGCTTATCCCAAGAAAGTGATATTGGGTTAGCGTATAAACATCAATAGATATAATTCAAAACATTAATAGACCAACAGAGAAAAAACATATGATCAACTCAATATATGTAACAAAAGTAATTAATTGACAAAATCCAGCCCCCTATGATTTAAAAAAAAAAAATCTTTTCTTTTTTTTTTTGTGGTGCAGGGTCTCACTACACAGTTCGGACTTGTAGTGATCCTGTTTTATTTATTTATTTATTTACTTACTTACTTACTTATGGTGGAACCGGGGATTGAACTCAGGCTCTTGCACTTGCAAGGGAAGCACTTATTCCACTGAGCCGTCTCCCCGACCCCCAATCCTCCTGTTTTCAACCTCCCAAGCACTGGGATTACAGGCATGCACTACCACGCTTGGTCTTAGTGGCTGGCTCAGTGTTTCTGGGGGCGGGGCCAGCACACCATGTGGTGCCAGGTATTGAACCCTGGTCCCTGCGCTTGTCTAAGCAGGCACTTAGTCCACTGAACTATCTTGCCGGTCCTAAAAAAGAAATTCTTAACACACCTAGAATAGAGCACAAATTCACCTACCTCATAAAAAGTATCAAGAAACATGTTTAAAATATTTAAAGGTGAAAATTCTGAATGTTTACCATAAGATCATAAGCAAGATAAAGATGATCTTCTCATTGCTACGACTCCATGCTATACTGGTAACCCTACTCCAAGCAATAAAACATGGTAAGAAACTAATGAATTTAGATAGAAAAGGGAAAACAGAAACATTCTTGGAAAAAAAAAGAAACAATCTTGATTTGTGGATTATATGATACACTTATATTGAAAATTCTAAAAAATCTTTTTAAGAAAGCTGTTAGAACCAATAAGGTCTCTGTAAAAATTATGTTCATATATGTTAGTGATGAAAATCAAAATTGTTATTAAAAATACCAGCATTTGGGCCAGAGATTTAGCTCAGTGGCATAGCACCCACCTGGCAAGTGTGAGGTCCTGAGTCCAATTCCCAGTATCCCCCCACCAAAAGAAACAGCATTTACAAGATATGTACAAGGCCTGGACAGTGCAAACTACAAAATATTATTGAGAGACAGTTTTCTTAAAAGCTCAAAACAATTGAAGTACATAATGAATTGAATGATTCAATTTTAAGACAGTAATTCTTCCCAAATTGATACACAGATTCAATGTAATCAATCCTAACCCAAATCCTAGCTGCTTTCTTTAGAAATGAACAGGCTAATTTAAAACTTCTGTGAAAATGAGAAGGACCTAGAATAGGCAAAATCATAAAAAAAAATTGAAGGGCAGGCCAGATAGCTCAGTGGACCAAAGCACCTGCTTAGGAAAGTGCAGGGACTAGGACTGATCCCCAACACTACATGCCGTGCAGTCCCCACCCCTGGGGCGTGTTGAGACAGTGACTGAAACCTGGCATGGTGGTGCATGCCTATAATCCCAGTGCTTGGGAGGCTGAAAACAGAAAGATCTCTATGAGTCTGATCTATGCAGTAAGAACCACCCTGTAAACCCTATACTAGTTTCTTTCTTTTTTTTTGGCAGAACCTGGGATTCAACTCAGGCCCTTACGCTTGCCAGGCAAGTGCTTATTCCACTGAGCCATCTCCCCAGCCCCCAACCCTGTACTAAATACATAAAAAAGAACAAAATTGGTGAACTTACACTATATGATTTGAAAACTTAAGCAGCTAAACTATGAGAATCATGACTGTGGAACTTAATAAAAATAGATAAATTAAACCAATGGAAAAGAATATGTAATTCAGATAGACTTACAAATACAGAGGTAGAAGATGCTAAGATAATTTTTTTGAGAAAAGGTAATATTTTCCTGTTTTGGGGGTATCAGGAATAGAACTCAGGACCTTGAGCTTGTCAGGCAGGCACTTGTGCTGCTGAGTTATATCTCCAGGCCAATAATTTTAATAAATAATTCTGGAATAGCATGAATATCCACATAGAAAAAAATTAAACCATAATCCATATCCCTCTCACACCATATATAAGAATTAATTTATTAGGGGCCAGGGAGATGGCTCAGTAGAATAAGTGCTTCCCTGGCAAGTGCAAGGTCCTGAGTTCAATACCCGGTTCCACAGGAAAAAAAAAAAAAAAAAAAGAATTAATTTATTGGCTGGAGAGATAGTTCAGTGATCTAAATGCCTACCTGGAAAGCACAAGGACCTGGGTTCAATATCTGGTCCCACATGCTGAGCTAGCCTCAGAACGCTGGGTGCACTGTGCTGGCCACCAATGCTGGGTGTGGGGGCACACACCTGTAATCCCAGAGCTGGGAAGGCTGAAACAGGAGGATCACTATGAGTCTGAGCTGCGTAGGGAGACACTATACCAAATAAATAAATAAATAAATAAAAGTTTTTTAAAAAAAGAAAAAAAATTGTGTGTGTGTGTGTGTGTGTGTGTGTGTGTGTGTTTAATGTATTCAGTATAGGATCTAAAGGGTCTCACTACACAGATCAGACTTGTAGTGATCCTTCCTGTTTTTCAGCCTCCCAAATGCTAGGATTACAGGCGCAACACTATGTCCAGTCTCCATCTGTGCCTCAGCACACCCCAGCAGCGGGGCCAGCACAGCACTGGAGATCAAACCCTGCCACTGCCTCTGCCTAAGCAGGCACTTTAATATGCTGAGCTATCTGGCTGCCCCTAAAAAAGGAAATTATGAGTCAAACTGAGTTTATTAAAATATTTCAGAGAATTACTTATTTTAATTGAAGCATTTATATTTAGAATAAAAAGATTCTAATTTGAAAGAAATTTCAAAACCATTAATAAAAAACAAAATTACCACTTACCTCTGTGTATTCATCAAAAGTATGATCTTCTGCCTGAAAAGCCTCTATCATCTTGTCTGCAGTCCCATCAAGGAGCCAATTATATTTTTCAACTGAAAATTAGTAATTTAGTTAAAATCTCAACAGTACTTCTAAAAAGGTAAAGTGATTTTTATATGATCATACAAAAAGTATTGTATTATATTGTATCATTTATTAATACATGGATTACTACATTTAAAGGAATAGATAAGATAGAAGAGATTTATTAAGAAAATAAATAAGGTCCAGCCAAATAGCTCAGCAGACTAAAGCGCCTGCAAGCAGGTGCAGGGGCCAGGGGTTTGATTCCCAGGCGTGCTATGCTGGCCCCGCCACTGCCCCTAGGGCACACTGAGAGGGCGATTGAGACTGGGTGTAGTGGTACGCGCCTGTAAGCCCAGCTCTTGGGAGGCTGTAAACAGGAAGATCTCACTAGTAGTGAGACCCTGAACACCCTGTAAACACTTCCCTAAAATACAAAAAGAAAAAGGAAAGAAAATTTCAAATAAATCTAATAGGCTTGAAAATAACTTAGAGATACAGATATGCCAGTTAATAGACAATTCAGGTTAACAGTCAAACAACAGCTCACACACACACTTGAGACCGACTGATAAAACTGAAAAGCAATTTTTGCAAAACTATTCTCAGAAATTACCTGGATTTTTACCTTTTATTTCCTCCTTATTCCACACTTACTCTCTCCACTCTTTGACCTTACCACCCTGCTTCAGTTAACATTTACCCTTCGGATCAGGTAACAGAATTGAAATTTGTTAGGTTTGATCTTTGACTATGCCAAAGGCAAACATATGCTCACTTCTGGCTCTTCAGCTCTTTCCAAACAGTCTCAGAAAGCCAAATATCTGAACAAATCCTAGTTAAAAATAATAAGAAGGCATATAGGATCAAATATTCCATATATACCATATGTCTCATAATGTTTCCTTGCACCATCTAAATTCTGCTGTACTGCTGCCTTCAGGGTAGTAAGAGCCCACTGTAACACATGTTCTGGAAGCTCCGTATCAAGATTGACAGGTGTTGAAATTCCCGACAGCCAAGAAGGAATTGTTTGGACATTCTAAAACATAAACATAAAATATATGTAATAAATGTGTAACTGTTCAATTGTAAGAACAAAAATCTTACACTATATTTTTAAGAAACTTCTTTGGTCCAAGAAAAGATAATGCAACACAAAATAGTAATTTATGGCTGGGGAGATAGCTCAGTGGTCTAAGCGTCTGCCTGGCAAGTGGAAGAACCTGGGTTCAATCCCTGGTACCACATACCATACTGGCCCTAGTACCTTGGGAATGCTGTGCTGGCCCCAAAACTGGGCATGGTGACAATCCTGTAATCCCAGCCCTGGGAAGGCCAAGACAGGAGGATCACCTTAAGTCCAAGCTGCATAGTGAGACCCTGTACCAAATAAATAAATAAATAAATAAATAAATAAATAAATAATTTTTAAAAAGTGAAGTCTATAGTTCAATATAAAAACAAACTGGGTTAAGCATTATGTCATATGCCTATAACCCCAGTAATCAAGATGCTGAGCAGGAGGATTGCAGAATTCAAAAACAGGCTGAGCTACATAGTGAGTTCAAGGTAAGCCTGAACTACAAAGTGAGATCCTATCTCAAAAAAACAAAGCAGGAAAAAAAGTCCACTGAATTCCCGATCTGCAAGCTGCCTGGCCCTGGCTTTGTCCCTGAGGCACACTGAACCAGAGAAGGAGGCCAGGCATGAAGGCACATGCCTGTAATCCCAGCACTGGGGAGGGCTGAAAACAGGAGGATCACTACTAGCCCGAGCTGCACAGTGAGACCCTATGATAAACACATAAATGAAAAAAAAAAAAAAAAAATCCAAGTTAGATTGGCTTTCTATCATTCAGTGTTTACTAATTATAATGTCAACATAATTATACTAGAAAACTCTAGAGGGAACAAATATTAGACCTTTTTTTTTTTTTTTCCCGGATTGAACTCAGACCCTTGCACTTGCCAGGCAAGCACTTATTCTACTGATGGGACCTTCTTCTTAAAAAGCTTGTACTTCAGGTGGTGGTTTTGTTGGTTTTTGGTAAAGGCAGGTAGTTCGTGGCCATGGCCTTTGGGCTGGGATGAACCGCATCCCCAGTTAAGGCGGGAGAGCCGGCCCAAAACATGGCCAGCACAGTGGTAGCAGTTGGACTGACCATTGCTGCTGCAGGATTTGCAGGCCATGAAGCATATGGAGCCTCAAGTAAAACAAGTTTTTCAGAGTCTACCAAAATCAGCCTTCAGTGGTGGCTATTATACAAGTGGATTTGAACCCAAAATGACAAAACGGGAAGCAGCATTAATACTAGGTGTAAGCCCTACTGCCAATAAAGGAAAAATAAGAGATGCTCATCGACGAATTATGCTCTTAAATCACCCAGACAAAGGACAATCTCCTTACATAGCAGCCAAAATCAATGAAGCTAAAGATTTACTAGAAGGTCAAGCTAAAAAATTAAGTAAATATATGATGAATTTTCAGTTCATAGTAGCTTATGTATATGAGTACTACTGTTTTATAATAAAACTCCACTGAGCTACAAAAAAAAAAAAAAAAAAAAAATTGTACTGTATAAATTTTCCATGAGAAAGATGTCCTCCTGGCAGTAGGAAGAGCATTCTTACCACCAGAGATGGAGTCACTGCCCTGATGTACCTGCCCAGCATTCCTTCCTAAAAACCTTACCTTCCATTAGGCTTATCTATTTCCTCATCATTTTCCAACAATTTAGCTCTTCTA